GGGGGGGGGGGGGGGACACGTTTGTTGCTTGAAGTAGTTGCTCGGCACGTTTGCAAGAGGATCGACTTTCCTTGGTTCTCTCAGTCAACACCTCCAATGAAGGAAGCGGGGGGGAGGCGAGAAGATGGACAAGGTGACCACAAGTGCTGACTTGGAGTATGATCACAGAGTTGTGACTTTGGAGGTGTACGCAGCCAAGATAAGCCAACAGAAAGGCAAACCAGCAATAGAGATGCCCACGAACAACAACAGATCGTCGTCGAGAGCGGTACCACCCCCCACCTACTCCGTCACTTATACCCAGGGAAAAATATCACCTTGTCCCCTATTCGGTACGCCTCCAAGCACACCGGACATGAGTCTCCTTCAAGGCGAGACCCCTCCTCCACACGAACTTCTGGCAGCTGCAGCACCTCGGGCAAAGACATTGGCCTGATAACGGCATCGCATGTCACGGAGGCCGCCGGGTCAGGTCATCCATCTAGGCAAGATGATGAAAGATACGCATCGTACGTCACAAAGATCACAACGATCGATGGGTCATACTGGTCAGTCTATCGCACACTTTCGCCACAGATCGTATCCATTCGAACAACCAATTCGTTTGGCAACTCCATTCGGCACATAGTTTCGATCTCCGCATGACTTGTGTCGAAAGATAACTGATAATTTCCCGCGACTTTTCACCCCTCCGAAGGTGGGGAGTGCTCATCGCCCGGTTTTGCTGCCGACGGGACACCGTGACGGCATTGTGCGCGCGCCTTGGCCACATGCTTAATTAAAGGGCATGTATCTGAGGCCTCATGTACGCGACTAATTTGTGCCTAGCTCGCTTGTCGGATCTGAGCGGCATGGTTGATCGTCTATCACAACTGACGATTGACCTAGGCAATGTCGAACTAGTCTGTCCACGTTGCAGACAGAACCAATCATGCCGAAGGCTGCAGCGCACGGAACACCGCCAATGGTCCGGTCACGGGCGCCAGAAAGAGGCAGAGGACCATGCCAAGAAACGGCGACAACACTGTGGTACGGAAATGTGCGGGCAAACCAGCGTCACGAAAAACGCAAAAGCGATCGCACGAGCACATCACCTGTTGGTGCCCGCCACCAGACTTTCGTAGCGGCGCAAGTAACGGTGGAGGGTCACCACCATCATGCTCCCGCAAGTCAGCAGCGCCAGCAAGAACCTGCCAACGACGCAAGCCAGAAATACCACACAAAAACAGCCTCAGTTAAGCATTTCTGCTCGGACGTTTTGCCACCGTCCCCTAGAAGTATTCCGCATGACTGCTTTCCATAGATCACCACATATGCGTTTGAACGTGAGTGCGTGCGGAGGTCAGCAGCACCGTCAAACCATTTCTTACCATGCCGTCAGGAAATAAACCATATTTTTGCTTGGCAACTGCAATGTTGTGGTGTGCAATTTTGGTATCCAACGTCCACGTGTGGAAGGAGTGGCATGGAAGGATACATACGTCGGCGAGCAGCTATGAAAACGCTCAAGCAGCTGCTCGAGGCTTTGAGGATTTAAGGCAGCAACACACAGCGAAACCCGACACAGGAAACCACAACACAGGAAGAAGCGCGGTACAGCACAGGAGTCCGACCGACACAAACCGAGACTATGCACACGTAACGTACAACCACCTCCTCACGCAGCACCTCTTGGCCAATACGTTGCAAGCACGGTAGGAATAATCTTCGAGGACACGCCGTTGGAGCATGTGTGCAAGACAACAAGGGAACGAAGTTTCTGGATTGCCTTGACAATCAGCACAGCAGTCGCCGACAGGGTTTGCTCCGCTACCATCATCCAGTCCCCCGGAAAACTCGTTTGTGGTGACCCACGTAGGCTGCTCAACGAGACAGGCCGAAAGAAAAGCCAGGAGCACGACATCGATGATTCGCCGTAAGAAATGCCCGACGACAGTACACCTCCCCGTTTTTGTTGCAGCAGCCAAACGAGGTCTCCTCCTCCATCTCTCGAAGCAACACTCACCCGGTGACAAGCATGAACATGGTGAGATCGACCGTCACAAACATGCCGAAGGGGTCTGTGTTGTCCACGTACACCTCTGGTCCACGGGTGTCCGACGCAGTCTCAATTAACGCCTTCAAAGCCAGGCCAGACGCATGCGAAACCAACACCTGGCGGTGTTGTTGTTGTTGTTGTTGTTGTTGTTGTTTGTTGATCGAAGATTGCTCTATACGAGTTGTTGCTCTCCTGTTGTTGCTGATGCCGGTATATCAGACTGCGCTCAATGCGATGGAGCCTAACAACTTTCCACAAGGAGGGTTCAGCGCGGTGGAATGGATACAACCAAAAACGACCACGGAGCCATTCTCCGAACAGAACTTTTGTCGCCTGCTGCCGTTCGAGTTCGATTCTGCCCCAAGTTCAGGCACCCAACCAAAAAAAAAAAAACGACCACAAGGAAACAGGGATCAAGGCCTTGGTATTATCGCCTTCAGTCTTGGCAATGCAAGGCCACATTCACTCACTCACCAACGGTATCTCGACCTTCGGGTGCTTCGCCCCCTTGGAGGAGCTTCTTCCCATCTTGAACAGATTCTCCTCTCGAGAGTCGTACACGATCACCATGCTGAACCCCGCACCCTGCGCGTTTAGGACCTAAGAGAGTACAAACGCCAACGGCGGGGGCGTGCGGTGGATGTTCAGCACTGGACAACATCACCATTCCCCTCTGTGCTTCCGAAAAGCCGCGTTGTTCTGTGTTTTGCTAGGCATTTCCATGTGAAGTTATGTGCTTGTCACTAACATAGATACTCTTCTGTTGCTTAGAAAGCTGTTGGCCATGGAGCAACACTTGGAGGTAGGAGCATCTCTGATCCAAAACTTGAACACTGTATCGCACGCGTTTCCTGCCTTTTGTCATCACACCACCTCCTCTAATGTTTTCTAGTCTTGCCCGCCGACGACGGCAAGTCTTCTCCTTCCTTCTCTTTTTGTCCAGTCTAGGGATCACGTTCTCTGTTTAAGACATGGAAAAATATACTCTCCCTCTGCCTTCGCCATATGGGCACGTCTGTATGTCCACGGGTACATCTTTGGGCCCCCTTACATATTCCTCCGTCTGACCACTGGTACGGCCTTCCCTCGCGTTCATCCGGCAATTCCAACCCGCTACGCTCAGAATGTTTTTACTACAAGTACCAGTAAAGGACTTGTTTCCAGGTTAAGGAACAACACCCCTCCCCACAAGACCGAGGGTAATGAAGAACCGAGCGTACATCGTTCTGAGCAAACTACGATGGAAAGGGGTGCGACAATGTAGACTAGAATGGGGAGTGGTGCGTGGGAACAAAGGGGAGCATTGATTTTTGGCCTCACGACTCTCTGCTGTATTGTGTAGCATGGCGTCGTTGGGAGGTAATCACCGTTGATCGTACCAAAACAGATTGAGAAGGGAAAATGACATACCAGGTGTCATCTCTCATAGTGGTTTCGTTTGTAGGCAGCTTGGCGAGGGACGCACCAGATCCGACCCCAAAAACCGACGAAAACCACCACATCACGCCTACATATTCTGTCGATACCGACTGCCGTGTTATGATCAGCACGCCTTGGAACAACGGGCTAACCATCCCCTGGACCCGCCACTCTCTCACCTTGGTCTCGAAGGTGCACCCACTAGGGTCATCCTTCTCCGACCTCGAGATGAGCGCAGCAGAGGGAAGGTCTTCCTCTCCAGCTGCCGCCGTCGCCGTCGCCGTCGCCGCTGCTGTCGTCGAAACCGCCTCCAAGATCTCGCCGCGAGGGGGTTGCCGCGATACTGCCAGTGGCATCCCGCGGCTTACCCCGCTGTGTGCGCGGGTCCTTGATGGTGGAGCGGCGCCTCCAAAATCTAGTTCGCCCGCTGCCTCGTTGACGGCTGTTGCTGACGCTACTGCTGTGGTGGATAATGGCCCGCTGATGGCGGAACAGGCGTACACGTTCGGTTGGGCCAGTTGGAGCCGTCCTGCGAATCCCTGCAGATTGTCGGCCGTACAAGAGTAGTTGGACCAGTACGGACATTACAGAGCGGAGACCGGAACACCGGAACGGTTTTCAATGTGAAGAAAACAACACCACATCGTACTCATGGACTGGTAGTCTTATCACTTTTCTATCGATGGAGATGGATTCGTTCGGTCATGTTGAGAAAAAAAAAAAAAACAGCTGCAGTACCAAGAGCACATCAGACAGGCGATACAATAGCGGCATCAGCAAGCTGAGGCAGCAGTGCGAGCTGCAAGGGGAGGAGGCAAGCGTAAATTTGTAACTACTATTGTGCTGTCTGCTGTCGGTATGCATACAAGAGAAACATTACAAAGGGGTCACCAACTGAAACTTCGTGGTGTTCAAATGGGCAAACTGTCTTGTTGGCCCTGTTACCCACGGGGGAGATATCACTACTGACTGTGTGCTGCTCGAGAAGTCGTGGAAAAACAGAAATATTGCTGACGCTATAGATTCAGTGCTAATCTATCTTCGACTCTTTTCTGGGATAGAGATGGATTCGTTCGGTCTACTGACAAAAAAAAAAGACCGTTCAAAGTTCGTAGAGCTGAAGTGATGTTGGCTGTTGAGCTGTTCACAAACCAGCACAAGCAAGTTTTTTTTTTTTCCTCACAGACGATAAACCCAGGTTCTTTCACAACCGCTCTTTTTCGTGATACTCTCTACACAGAGGCTCAAAGACAGACAGAGAACGAAACATGGAGGAAGGGCGAGGGCAGCATTCCCAATTCCTCCGGTTGGGCGGTGTTCCCAATCCCTCCGATTAACCACCCTGCTTACGAAAAATACAGGTCTAGACTACAAGTGCAACTCAGCGACTTCACCTCTTCAGGTATTCTCGGACCGAAGTTGTCCATCGACGGCACATCATCGAACCGCGTCGTGCCCTCGTTATACACTAGTATTACGGCTGCGCCCAGGTCAATGCTGCCGATGGCCATGGCCAAAACGACTCTCAACAATCCCCATTGCCGCTGCTTTCCATAGGATGTCATCTCGCCGTGATGTGTGTCGCGATGTGGTCGATGATGTGTACGATGAGGAGGATGCACGAAGCAAGCCATGCCCGACCGAAACAACAGCGTAGCCCCCCCCTATCCCTCAATTCCTCAATACAAACCACCATCAGCGGGGCCCCCTCGAGTCCGGTAAGTGTTGTGTGTTGGCCAGACAGCAGAGCACAGACAAAGCAGAAGAGAGAGAGAGAGAGTAGCTGAAAGTTGCGCGCCGCGCAGCAAATCTTGGGCAAAGATGGGGGACGTAGACGCGTTTCTTGAAGAGCAGCTAGCAAGCGTCAAGGGAGGACCTCGGCGCAAGGAGAACGGAGGAGGCGATGCGGAAAACGGGCACGACCCAGAAAACGGATTGAAGGCGGGAGCAGGAGGGGACGAGGCTGCAGCAAGCGAGGGCGGTGGATCATCCAGCGGAGACAGCAGCTCCGATGGAAGCAGCTCCGACAGCGACGACAACGCGGAAGGCGAGAACGAGGAGGGGCAAGGGGAGGAAGAGCAGGAGGAGGAGCAAGAGGAGGAAGAGCAGGAAGAGGAGGAAGACAGGACACGCAAAAAGAGCAGCCGCCGGAGGAGCGACAGGGACAGGGGCAGGGACCGTGATGACCGCAGGAAGCGGAGCCGGAGCCGCGGGCGAGGGGAGCGGGACAGTGACAAGCGCCGCAGGAGGTACGTCCACTTTTGAGAAATGCCCCTAGTCTGCTGCGAGAGTGCAATCTGTATGTATCGAGCCACAGATATTTTTCATGGCCAAAAGTGGTGGCCGAACAGACGAGATAGCCGGTGGTTGGAGCCCAGCTGCTTTGCAAACAGGTGTGTCTTCCCTCCGCGCGCACCGACGGGCTGCTACGTTATTCTTAGCGCCTTGATGCGAGAGGTAGATTGGCATATCGCCGACCTCGATCCACGGACACAAAGATCTTTGTTCAGATTGTGCCAAGTGTCTAACAATAACGGGCTACGACAGGCACTCTGGGTGTCCTCAGGCTCCTTTCTTGTTTGTCTCCTTTCGTATTTGTAGAGATCTTCTGCTGTTGTAACTCCACTTCGAGTCAATTGCGCCGATGACCGGTGAAAAACGGATCCAGCTGCTGTACTGCTGTAGAGGTGGAACCTCGTTTTGCCCGGAAGTTGATACAAAGTACACAGAGATGATAATCTCTGTTTGTGTTCAGATTTTTATTCTCCCAAGCAGCTAACGCCACCTGCCGTGACAGCAGTTTTTGTTTTTGTTTGTTTGTTTTTCTCCCATCATTGGACTCTGTCGTCTGCCCCTCTGGCCCCTATCCTCCACTTCTACCAGCTAGACAACCCAACCGGGGTCACATAGGAGGGGGGGGTTGGACCCCCTCCTGCGGTTCATGCCTGAGGTATTTTTATCGCGAGAAGGGTACAGCAATCCCTTCCCTCGCGACTTACGAAGTCGATTATGGTATACTAACAAACGAGCTTTGCAGCGCATCGCTTTCATCCTAGACCAGGATTTATTTAGTGAGAAAAAAAAATCTCTCTGTCGGGACTCGAACCCATGACCTGGCCCTCAGTAGGCTGCGAGGCCAGCCACTAGACCATCGGGGCGACCAGTGTAAAGTTGTTACACGTGTATTTTGCGCGATGAAAGCCATTGGGGCATTTTCGCAGAGGAGGTGCGGCCACCTACAGTTCATCGGGTGGTGATCCTCACGTGGGTAGGGAGACAGCATCGTACCTACCTCGTACCTCATACTTACCTCATACTTACCTCTGTCCCTTTGAGCATGTTGTGGTGGGCGGTTTGGTGGGACAAACATGTTGTATTAATAGGGGGATTGACGGGGAGGAATACTTGATCTTGTCGTTCGTTGTTCCTCGAAGAATCGATGTACAGCAGTAGACTATATTGGACATGCACATTTAGTGGCCGATGACCCTGTCGCCGCCCGAAAAAAAATCGTTAGCGTCTCACACCTTGATCTGACGACTACCGCCGTAAGAGAAACCTACTACCATATATGTAAAACTATGTACTGCCGTAGTCCTTGTCGCAGCAGCTGACCCGTTCTGCATGTCGAACCATTTTCTCCGTTTCGCAAAAGAGATGATACCACGTAAGAGAGATTCTGCTGGGCTAAGTCGAGGACAAAGTTTGGCTGCAGTACGACAAAGGTGCGCCCAGGGGGAGAAAAGGCCACCCCAGGAGTCGTAAATACAATCAACACCGGGATTGTTTTGGTTTCATCCCACTCCTCGTTCCCCCCTTTTTTTGCGGGGGATGCGCGTGACGACATTTTGCTCAATCGTGAAGGGAGGGCAGGTCGGTGAATAGTACGGACTCGGGTAGTGAAATATGTACTGGCGCAGCGTACTTCCTAGTCCGTGTCTCCATAGTTTGTGGGTGTTGTAGTTTATATAGTTCCACGGATGGCAACAGTCAGTTGAGTACGGGAGACTGTGATGTCGGGTTAGCCTGCGTGTTAGCTTTCGTCGCCCCCTGCGCACAAATTGCAAACGCTTGTGGCTGTGATTGCTATGATTTGCTGTTGTTTTGGTGCACGTTAAACACGGAGCTTCACGGTAGTGATAGAGATGCCGATAGTGTGAAGCTCTGTAGCCTGGAAGTACGAAACACAGGTACATGTCTTGGGCCTTCTTCTCAGCTAAAACGCAACTTTTCAAACTTCTAAACCACACGATGGCTGTCACAAAAACATACACGCCCTCAGGCTCCCCTGGAAGAGATTGGAGAATGGTTCCTAGAACGTTCTGCGTTTCGTCAACCATGTGAGTGCTCCCACCGACACCGGAACGACCAGACCAACGGAGTTCGCCAAGAGCTTGCGATGCCGCGAAACGAATGCAGTGTCGTAGATGTTCGTTGTCGGGCTTCAGCAAACGTGGGGGAGGGGCAAGACCGACCGGGTGGGATCTGGGCCACCAGCCCTGGCCAGGCTTAGGGTATCATGCCCTCACCAGATGCCAGGGTGGCGCTGTGGTAGCTCAACAAGAACCTGGAACCGCGTTGTAGCATTGCACTATTGTACATCGCCTCTATGTGAGCTGCGGATTACCAACCGATGAAGATATGCCCCGAGTTGTCTCATGAAAGCTACTCATGTGCGCTATTGTAACTCGTTGTCACCGAGGCTAGAATCATTATTTTCTGAGCATTATCTGCAGAATCACCTACCGCCGGGCTCGTTGTACCTGTTCCTCTGTATTGCTAAACTATCAGGAGTGTGAGCGGGGACCGGAGGAGGGACCGGCACAGCAGCCGCAAGGGGGATCATGACCGTGATCGCGATAGGGACAGGGACAGGCACGGGAGCAGCAGGGGCGACCGGAGCGATCGCGACCGGGACCGCCGATCCTCCCGCCGCTCTCGCAGCAAGGACAGAGACAGGGACTCCGGCAGGTGATGTAGATTTGCACAAGGCCAGCGAACGTGTGTTATTACACCATGGCAGTGTAGCAAGCCAAGCTGCTGATTGTGCGGTGTGTGTTTTGTTGCGGTATCGAATGTGCGGAGGTGGCTGGTGGCGCTTTCCTTCCTGGTTAACCGCAAAGGGGAGGGTGTTCCGATGTTGGCATGTGAACCTCGAAGTCAAATGTGGTTCGTGAAGCATAACTAGCTCAATATGGCACTACAGTATACACATTCTCCGAGTTGGAACGATTCGGCATATTCCGCACACGAAAGGTCCCATACCAGGGTGCGAAGCTAACCCTCTCTCCTCGCGGTATGCGGCGGCTGTGGGGACCATTCCATCACTACCGCCACCAAGGAACAAGAGCAATTGGTCCTAGCCGAAGCTTGTGGTACACCACTCTGGGCCTGTTCTTGCCCCATCTTGAAACAGACAAAGGGCGACACCCTGCGGATATTCACGCATTGAGTCCTAGGTCTCCGTCGGCGCTCATTGGGTTCAGCTGCTGGGTTGCCGATATTGCGCTATTAACTCCTTTGCTGCTGTCCGTCGTGACGTTGGCGATGACAGGAGGAGCAGGAGGAGCCGCCACTCTGACGAGAATGAGCCCAAGAAGCAGCAAGAGCAGGAAGAGGAAGATGATGACGAAGAGAAGGAGGAGGAAGATAAGGACGGAAGCGATGGCAACAAGATGGAAGTGGACAAGGACAACGAATCCAACGCGGGAACGTCGCCGGTCCAGGAAGACGGCAACGCCGAAGGCAAGGAAGAAGAAAAAGAAGCGGAAGAGCCCACCGAGGAAAATGACTCGAAAGAAAAAGACAAGAAGGAGTCGAGGCGCGAGTCGTCCAAGTCTAAAAAAGACAGGTCGTCCAGGTCCTCCAGGGACAAGAAGAGAGACAGGCACAGGTCCCGCAGCAGGGACAGGGACAGGGACAGGGACAGGGACAGCAGGCGCCACGGGTAAGACTATGTCATGAGAAGTTGCGCGTGGTAGGGACGGTGCTGTAGCTCCAATAACACGACAGGTTCTAGAGTTACTTTACAATTTGCATGTATCGAGGTTGGAGATTTTGCTTTCTGTCAGGAAAGCGGTAAAGCTTGCAACTAGCGGAATGTTTGTTCATGCTGCCATCCTCGTGCAGAAAGTCACGGGACCCTTTTCAAATGTACACCGGATGTTGAATTTCTCCAAATCAGAAGCAGCCGCCGCAGTGACAGAGACCGCGATAGGGACAGGGACAGGGACAGGAGGGACCGCGATCGTGACCGCAGAGATAGAGACAGGGATGATCGAAGGGTGAGCAAGACCTTTGGTTTTTGTTCTTGTCTTTCTTCAAATCAGCGCTCACAGCATCTGTGCCGTTTACTCCAACCCGTGGTCAAACAGAACGTGCGCCGTACATATGGTACGCATACGGACTGAGTTGTTGGTCGATGACTCTAAATGCCTCTAGTGCTTCGTCAGAGTTGATTGAGCCAAACTGTGGCACGACTAGGGGTACCTTGAGCATCTCGGAGTATTTAGCTTGTCAACTTGTTGTGCTTGTGGCCACAAGTCCAAGGCTTTGAGGATCTCGAGTTGTAGACAATATCTTATGAATCCCCGTGAAATCACCTTCACAAGGTGTCTGCTCAATGATGTTTGAAAATATTGATGATCTTGTTGCAATCCCCCCCCCCCCCCCCCCCCCCCCCCCCCCCCCCC